TTACAAAAACTGTGGAACAAGATAGATGCCAAAAAACGTAGGGAAGAAAAATGGACCACAATAGAGTGAATGCTTCACAAACATTCACACTGTTAACACCTAGATCATCTTTTAAAACCTTGTTCCTGATGACTTCTTGGGTGGAAGGTTTTCAGTCCGTCACACTTGACCTGTTGCTTACACACAAGCTGGAGGTGTCTTTAACGCAGGACTTTTTAACTGGCGGTCCGGGGGCCAAATCAGGCCCACGGGTGAACTCAGTTCGGCCCACCAATGGGTTCATTTAAAAAAAAAAAAAAACTAGATTTTAAACCATAAAACAAACTTAATGACAATTACTGCTTGATGTCTGGCCCCTGAGCTTTTGGCTGCAGTAACTGTGGCCCCCTGAGCAATTTAGTTGAACAGCCCTGCTTTAACAGGTTCTTCATGCAAAAAAAAAAGAAAAAAAAGACTAAAGCTGTGACTGCAGCTGACGTGTGGCCTGGTACGAGGCTGGGAACCCTCGCCTCAACACCAGAGCAGGGTCACACAGGTGACAGGTAATAGTGATCAGGAAATAATCTTCATTAATGTTTGCTCTCCCCTTGACCTGCGGGCGCCTCACAGTGACGAGCTGAGCTGTCTGAGAGCAGCGGCGGACTGACACAAAAGGTCAATCTCACATTTATACACACACAAACCAACACATTGGGTGGCACCGAGGCTCCCCTGCGATGATCAGTCACTTTATTACAACATCAAACAAACTGGGCCTGCAAACACATGCACAACACCACAAACATTACCGTGCTGCCATTCAGCGCTACGGATGGACAAACTACTGGAGCACCGGGGTGGGGTGGGGGGGTGGGGGGGGAGTGCAAACAAACTCTCCCCAGGTCCGGGGCTTCGGTTTCAGCCTTCCGTCCGCTGTGGCTGAGGGGCCATGGGAACATGAAGCGCTGGGGGCCCTGTGTCAATAAGGAGCAGTGGTTGAACACAATGGAGGCCTGCCTGCAGACAACACCGCTGACAGACACCCACACAAAGGGCTGCAACTGGGAAGGAGGCCCGCGCACGGACTCGTGCACACAAACACATGCGGTGAAAGAATGGGCCTGTGTTCAGTTGGCTCCGGTACAAATGTTTGACGGCTGCTTCACCGTGCGTGTTTGCACTCATGTAAGCAAAAGTGAGAAAAATATTCTGACCGGTGTTTCTCAAGCACGCTTCAGTAGAATAAACTTTTTAAATGCTTTCCATGCGTTTGCTCAGAGCAAACCGAAGAGACTTTACATGGAGTATTCCTCAGATACCACAAAGCCACACTAATAAACTATTTAATCTGATTAGGAATACATGGTCGCAGAACATTATGGTAAGAGTTTTAAACCTGCTCGCTGTTTGCATGCTGCAAACAAGATGATAAGAGCTGCAGATACAAACTTTAGGACATAATTAAATTACATTTGCCTGCTGGGAAAGCAGAAATGTTTTGCTTACAAACACAGTGATCCTGTTTCACTTTAATTGCAAGAGACTAAAACATCTAAAATCAGCACGTGTAGGCCTTAAATTAGGAGGGTGGAGCTTCAATCAGAGAAAAATGACTACTTTTGTGTTCAGATTAATATTTTTAATTCCTCATGAGTCATGCGTTTTTATAACTCTACATCCAAGAAAGTTAGACAGGTGCTGCCACCTGGTGGTGATAAAGATGAAGTTGTTATACCAGAGCCTGACAGCAGGTGGCAGCACTTTTAGATCATAAGAGTCTAAAAACAGGATTCATGATGTTTTATGTGGATAAAAATCCGTTTGTGGCTTGGTGGGCTGTTAAGTTAAGGATTTCCACTTTTGTTCATCTTTTATTTATAGAGTTATGTGACTAAATCACTTAATGTGTGGCCTGATGAACTGATGTGACCTGAATCCAAGCAGGGTTTAATAAATCTTAAAAACAAGTCATTTTATTATTAGGAATTTGGTCATGCTGTGTAATCTTATGTGTCAGAATGAACTACATACAGAAGCATGAAAAAAAAAAAAGAATATTAAGAAAAAGGTTTTTTGTCAATTCATAAAGTGAAACTCGTATATTGTATAAGTTCAATAAACAGTGACGTATAATTTTTTGAGATGCAACAAAACGTCCAGCAGGAAAAGAAGCGGACAAAAAGAGAGTTAAAGCAATATCAAAGTTTTATTTGTAAAATGTAGTTTAGAGAGGAACAGTAGTACAATTCAGACAGAAAAAAAGGAGAATGTAGTTCCATCTTTGAAAACCTTTTGATAAAAACGTAAAAAGAGTAACCTGAATCTGCTTCTGTGTTCGGAGGGGCGCTGAGGCGCGGCCCGAGCATTGCATCACTGTTAAAAGTTCCAGAGAAACGTTGAAAAATACAACCCTTTGCAACAGCGTAAAAAAATACAGCTGGGAAGAAAAAAACCTCTCATTTTACATCTGTAGTGTTTTTGCTTCGTCTCTTTTTTTTGTTTTTTTTCGTTTGTGTTTTTTCTTGTCCGTATAACAAATACAGCATAAACTCTGGTGACGATACATCGCAGCTTCGAGTTTCATTCGTTACAGTAAATTCAGTAGGATGGTAAATAGTATCAAAAGAAGAACAAACATGACGAGGTGGTGAGAGGGACGAGCACGCAGCGTGAACGGAGAAAGCGCGAGGTTAAAGGTCACGGAAAGAAACCACCACAGGAGGTTTTGTAGCCGACTCAGTGTGTTCCATTAAGTAAATCCACTATAATATATTCTTCATATATATATATATCTCATATATTCTCCACATATATATATATATATCCGCAACACAACCTCTCCCACAGTGATTGGAAGGTAAAAGTGACACAAAGAGGATGAATATCTCTATGATTTAAAATATATCTTCTTCCACTGAGCATAAAAAGGAAGTTACACATCTTCGGTATCATTAGCACTTCAGTACATACTGTATATTCACTGCATACGAACAGATACTGCTGCTCCAAGGTTTTAACCCGCAAACAATCTGAGTTTCTTTAGAAATTATGTGCTTAATGAAAAAAAAAAAAAGGGAGAGAACAGGACACGTTTGTGGAAAAAGGACAAACAAAATCATTATGTTTCAAGGGTAAAGTGAATGATTCTGTAGCATAAAAACATTTAAAAAAAAAATCTTAATTACAAACACGAACAAGGATTCTCTACACTAAGCAAGTATTCAACCTGGCTTTGTCGCATACATTGTTTCAACAAGAATGATTTTGGTTGGACAAATAGAAATTAACAGTCTTGATTGCATTTTGGAGTCTATAGAATATTAAATAACAAAAAACAAACAAAAAAAGACGTCTAATAATAATAAAAACAAACAAAAAAAAGAGTTGCGCACTGGAAGAAAAGACAAGTTTTTTTTTTTCTTAACATGTACAGTTCCAATCAGACCCGCTTTTGGGGGAACAAACATAAAAAGGAAAAGTAAGTGCATGTCTGCCAGGCGAACAAAGTGTTTTCTACCTGACCGACCTAAAAAAATAAAACACACACACGACGGAAAAACAAATTAAAGTGATGTTTTTTTGTATCTCTTTTACAAATGGAGTTCTTTTAGACTTTTAAAACATCAAGATTTCTGCACATTTCTACCCCCCCCCCCACCCCACACACACACACCTCACGACTAACGTTCAAGTGATTCAAAATATATTTACTTTAAACCTCAGTACCAAATATAAACATACAGGTCCTCGAAATTACACGTTCTACAAATATGGTATGTGTGAGTGTGCGCGCGTAAATTAAACAGCTTAAAAACGACAACAACAAAAGAACTATGGCAAAAGCATACCTGATAGTCGCCGAAGCACAACAGTGTTCTATAGTTTTAAGCTGATTATATTCTGCATAACTGAGTCAGTTTAAGCTTTATGATTATAAACATACAGCCTGTAGGTCCAGTATTCTGCAACGAGCATTACAGCACCAAACGGTTCATCATTTGGCAAAATTCAAGCTTTAAGTGAAAGTCAAATGCTTTTGTTTCATCATCATCATCATAATAATAATAATAATAATAAAGTGTTACTGTGACGCCGTGATTTGTTTAAAGCTAGCACATTTCCCCTCTTTCATTCTTTTTTAAAAATCATCCCTCCCCCATTTAACAAAGAACCCATGTTTTGTTTTTCTTTCTTTTAAATATATTCAGTAGTTCTTGTTTCCTGCTAAATCTTGGTGTGCGGTCTGTTTGGCACGATACCACAGCCCTTTTTAAGTTAATCATAAATATGGCTGCGATACATTAAAGTCACGAAACAGATTTTTTGGTTCCAAGATTTGTGCAGGGAAAGAGGAAAGAAAAGTGAGAGGAAATTTAAAAAAAACACGATAACATTTAGCGCGTCTAGCTCTACGAAGCGAGTTTAAATCTTCCTGTGGACGATGACGCTCTTCTGCTGTGTTTCTACAAGCGCCGAGCGACAAACGCGCGGACACACTCGGCTCGAGCACACGACAAAAACAAACAAATACAAATTATAGCATTCAATAAGACCATTATAACCTCTCTTCATAAATTAAATAATTAACTTTGTTTCCATGATTGGCCTACCTTAACTCGGAAAAATTACATCAACTCTCGCCCCGCAAAGGAAAAACAAACAGGAAGTAAAAACACATCACCAACAAAAACCTGATTTTTCATAAATTCGTCATTAAAATCATTCTCTTGTGGACGCTGGACCCACAGTTGGACACATTTTAATAATAATAATATTAATAATAATAATAAAATCTGTACATCTTGGAGTTTCCACTCTATCAAAGCTTAGAAAAAAAAAAATCATTTCTTTGTCATGAAGTTGAACAATTAAGTAACCTCAAGGTTTGATAGCACTTTGGAGTTGATTGTTTACCAGCTAGGGTTTTCTGTGTACACACATGTATATGTATATATATATATATATATGTGTGTATATATATATATATATATTAAACATCAACTTTTATTTGTTTCTCAAGCTTGTTTATCATTTTCAGTCCTCCTCGGGGGCAGCACCAGCGTTGCCCTCGCCCCAGTTTGATTGGTCGTTGTCGGCGGGCTCCTCCCCCTCCGCGTCCTCCCCTTCCTCCCCGTCGAAGTCTTCGTCTCGAGAAAACTCGATGCCCTCCAGGCCCTCCTGGGTGGCCTGGTGCGAGTCGGCGCAGTCGGCGCACACGCCGTAGCGCCGCGAGCCGTGGCGGATCCCGACGCTCGCTGCGAGCATGAAGATGTTCTTGCACACCATGCACTTGTACTTTTTGTCTTTTTTGTGCACCTGAACAAACGAAAGGTTGGATTTAGAGATGATTTGACAAAAAAAACAACTAGTTACTGTAAGTTTTTGTTTCTTCCTGCCAATAGTTGAAAACTCCCAGTGGTCAAAGGTACAATTTGATGGTTTCCAACTTGTTTATTTTTATTGCATCAAGCCAAATGAATTAAGTCAAGTCAACTTTATTTATAAAGCACTTGTTTTTTTAATTACTTTATTTTACCAGGAAGAAATCCATTGAGATCATTGATCTCTTTTACAAGGATGTCCTGGACAGCAGCTGTTACCAAAGTGCTTAACAGTAAAATCAATGGGAAAAAAAAGCAACAATAAAAATAATGATAGTGAAAATGAATTACAAGCATCAAAAGAAAAACAGAAACGCAGAGCAATTAAATATTAAATCAAGTCACATTTTGTAAAAAGCCAGAGAAAACATGAGTTTTAGTAGAGATTTAAAAACAGGAAGTGAAGTGTCCTGCCTGATGTTGGGGGGCAGATTGTTCCAACGTTTGGGGCCACGACTGAAAAAGCTCGATCACCTCTGAGCTTCAATCTTGTTTTTGGAACAGCATCAGATGGGCCCGAGAAGGAACATCTGGTTCCAGAAGCTCAGAGATATGAGGGTGCAACACCATAAATGCACTTAAAGGTTAGCAGGAGAATTTTAAATCAATTGTGGTACGTACAGGGAGCCAGTGAAGAGAGGACAAAACTGGTGTAAACCTATGAGTTCCAGTTAAGAGCTGAGCTGCAGCATTGTGGACGAGCTGGAGATGTGAAATGGAGACGGACTGACCCCAACATAGAGAGCGTTACAGTAGTCCAGTCGTGTAGTATAAAAGCATGGCTAATTCATTAATTAAATTATTAATCTTGAATATAAATTGGGAAAGATTTAAGAAAACCTAAGCTGCATTTGAACCACGAGAATCTTTGTTACCTCTCTGGGCTGGAAACAGATGGCAAATAGCATTCATGGGGGAGTCTCCGGAGGGTCGGCTCGGTTCTGTTGCTCAAGTTTTCAATACGACGAACGTGTTTGTGCAACACATTTTCTCTGATAGTCACAAAGGTGTTGTGGAGAGGTGGACTAGAGCTTCATTTTTACCTTTAACAGTTGGGGGGGCTGCACAGGTGGGCGCAAAATGGGGCCGAGGCGGCTATGATGATGTGTGCAACAAAATAATGTGCACGGCCAAGAGTGCAGTTTTACAGCATTAGCAAAACAACAAAAAAAAACAAGTGTTACTTTCAAAAATTGGCTGCTCAAAACGACCACAAGGTTTGTGGATGACTTGCTCGCAAACAGAATTCAGAGACTTTAATGAAAAAAATAAGTTTTCTCGCAGTTTGGAGTCCTGAACTAGTCCGCAACTGTCGCAGCCCTGGAAGACGCCACGTTTAGGAGGAACTTCCAAAAGTTAAGGTTTTTAATTTGTCATTTCTGTGTTCA